CTACGTGTGGCGGGAGGAGAATGATATATCACAAGGTTCTGATGAACTATATGAAGGATGTTCTTTTTTAACAGTTGCTACTCTAAAGCTCTGGGAGACGCAGTGAGCCATGTTCGTATTTCAACGTGAAAACTCGTAATACTTCGAAAATGAAAGAAAATTGAGCTTTCCTTACCCTATCAAGTATGAAAGAAAGTAATAAGGCAACAAGAATAAATGGTCAGAAAATGAAATATGAGTGCGTTATCGCAATATTTATAGTATAACTTCTCAAAAACACAACAGACTTCGAAACTATTTTTTCATATAGAGAGCCCTAACTGTCCTCTATAAATTACACTTTACTCAGTGTATTTACAATTTAAGCATTCGCAGAAATTTTACAAGTTCCCATGTCACCCAAATGACGGAGGGCCTTTTTTGTGAGTGCGTTACCGGCATGTATTTTTAGTATAAAAGGTGAACCACATAATCAATTTGAATGAAACTCACAAATGTTAAAGTGTTTTATAATATAGACATGTACTCTAAATTTTAAGGCCATACTCTTTGTTGTTATCAAGAAAAATGGATTGAAAATTGACAAAACGTGAGTGCGTTACCTACCGACAAGCCACGTATCAATTTCTGATTTCACATAGGTCCTATTATAATATTGTACAATTAGCAGAAAGTATGAGTTTCTTATTCAATATTAATTTTTACTAAATGATCTAACTATGAATTGTTTGACCAGAGTATATATGAACTTCATTTTTTCTGTTAAATAATCAATTAAAAATTAAACAAAAGAAGTATACAAATTCTTTGATTCGAGTTATCTTATATATTTACACACTAATCGTGATAATTGAGTCAGTTGGGACAATGTGCATCATGTAGATCTTAATGAGTTCACGCTTTCAGTTTATTATTGTCTGGTTACTGCATTTTTTAAACCAACGCCATCGTTTCACAGAAAGACCAGAAATTTCGCACAAAAATAGATATGTCTTATGAACGATATAAAAGACGCACTTTTACTATAGTTGTATCTTAACATGGAAGCAATGAATAGATGTAAAACTTTTAAAACAAACTATTTCATTTAAGGTCTATCTTTGTATGAAATTGCAATTCGAATTTCAGCAATCAGTTTTTCGAATCTGTCTGAGAACGACAATGACTTCAATTAATCTAATAACATGAACTCTTTTCAGACATTCATAATTCATTAAGGTCTACACAGTGCACATTGTCTTAAATACAAAAGTAATTAATCTCCTTGGAAACGTTCGTTATGAGTAGTAAAGTGTTTCAGTTCTGTTATATGAGTCCGCTTGTTTAATCGGGTATTGTTTTGAATTCTTTAAGTTATTTAAGACAATTACTTGGGCATTGTAATTAATTTCATCCAGTCAGAATGAAAATAATATAGTTGCATGATATTAACAAAAAGAAATATACTTGGTGTCAATAATTTAATAGCCAAAACTTCTGATGCAACAATTTCAAGTCCGATGAATGCAAGTCTTAAAAAATAAAATAAAAGGAAAAATAATAAAATAATTATTTATTTTGTCTTATTTTTTAATCAAAAACTTACAATTCTTTACTAATTTTTGACGATAAAAATATATTAACTCGTTGAAACTAATATATAAAAAGTTAGTTTAATATTAATTAAACTATTTAAAAACTTTACTTGATAAATATATAATCCAATTAAAATAATCATTGAATAGATAACAATAATTAAATGAAATGTATATGCTGTTCTTCGCCAAAATTCAAATGAAATCTTAAAGAAAAAAGATTATTTTTTTTATTTTTTATATTTTTTAAAACTAAAATATTCTTACTTGAAATGAAAGAATGAAAAATAAATAAAAAAAACATGTAGATAATTCGATAAATTACTACAGTACCCTCAATGCTAACAACTAAAAGCATTCCACAATCCACATGATAGAAATATCCAATATTTTGTTAAAAAATTCATAAACCATTGTTCTATAATATATCAAAAAAAAAAACTTTTTTTTAAAGCATTTAATAATTCTTACCCAATCGTCGAGCACATGAATTTACTGATGAACTCAATCGATTACCTATAAAAGAAAAATTCAAAGTATTTAAATTCTTTTTTCTAAATGAGCTAATCAAGTAAAAACTAACAATAACACAGCTATAAGGTTGTTTCTTATGTATTCATTAACCGTATTATTTCATTTTATAGTTATAAAATTAAATTTTTTTCTTTTTTTTCTTTTTAATTTATTTCCTTTATAACTAACCTTCGATTAATTGATCATTAGAATTTCTTTTTTCATATATATATTGTCAGAATGTTAACAAAGAAAACATCATATAAAATGACTAATAATAAATAAAAAAATTAATTTTCTTTTCAAGTTTTGTTTTTATTAACATACTTTAACAAATAATGAAATAAATGCTGGAGAATAATCATTTATTTTTATACCAATTTGTTCCATTGTACGACGATCATAGGCAAATTTAAATTGATCAAAACTTATTTTAAAGCTACTTATATATTGTAATATTAATAATATTCCACCATATATTGTAAAAAATGGACTCATTCTTAAACACCATTTACGAGAATTGGGTAATACCCAAAGAAAACATGCCCAAAGAAGAAATACTAATGTTAATAAACTATGAAATGTTATACTTCACGACTAAATTTATTTATTTATTAGAATATTAAAATGAATAAGAATTCTTTTTTTTACCAGCATTGCAATTAAGGATAGCAAATAACTTTTTCGTTCTAATACACGAACAAAGAATAATATGACAAAAATTATTCGTCCTTGCCATGTTTGATCATCAGGTTGTTCTGAACTGTGTTGACGTTGTACACTTATAGACCTTAGCTATAATGAATTGAAACTTTTGACAGTCAAAAAAGAAACTCTATAATACATATAAGCAGAGATAATTAGAATGAATAGGTTAAAGATAAAAGAAGCTTAAGTATCAAAGAAAAGAAACTAAAAATAAATAATCGGAAAAGAAAGCAAATCTTGTATAGAAATCGAAATTTTTCGTATAGAGAAATTGAACACAAGACAAGAGAAATAATTAATGCAATAATGATAAAGCAAAGAAATGTTTAATAGAAAAAAGAAAAACAAATCCGAACATAAAATGTTGAGCTTATTAAATAAAAGCAGTAATCTTTGATAATATCATCATAAGTAATTTTTAGTTCTCATTGATTTTAATTATTAATTATCAATACATACAATAAAACTAGTCAATCTTTTATGAGAATTAACAATACTCCAAAAGTTGATCATCCTTAAATTAGATCTATATTCTAAAGTGTATATACAATGTTATGTGAATTTCTGACAAAAATTTTACTAATTAAATAACATTTTAATGAATTTCATCTTTCCATATTATTCGAACCAGAGTTGTTAACTGGTCCAGTCAGTCTAAAAATATTTCCAGATTCAATAAAAACCGGCGAATTTAGAAAGTTTTTTTTTTAGGTGATAAAATTGATATTAAGAGTAAAATTTTGTTCTCAATATCTACAGATTTTTATATTTGTCTTTTGTCAGATGTTTATATTACAATGAACCTTATTCCTCATTCACTTATACGATTCTTGATAACAAAAATAGGAACCAACACAAGACTGTAAATAGTCGAGAATTTTTCAACTGATTTTGTCTGTCCAATTAGTTCAAAAAAAATCTTTTAGATCGGCGGAAATCAGTAACAAATGGTCAATCTGTTGGATCATTATTAATTGATTAATGAAAATAGATTATAAAGAACACATTTATTTTCCTTTTTTCACCCAAGTTTTGAGAAACTTTCTAGTAAGTAA